ATATATATATATATATATATATATATATATATAGTACAACGAAGATCAAAGTGAGCTTTCGAATCTCTCCCATTTTGTTTTCCGTTGTATAACTGTAACCAGCAGTTAGAGTAAAATACGCTTTTTGCATCCGAATGGTAGATACAGGTAACCTTCAAATAGTCCTATAGAACCACCCAGGCTTTATCAAACCTTCTCAGAGGAAGATTTTCCTGCTTTCTGCATCACCCCATAGTTCAGACGCGCGATCTTGTCATTGCACACTACAAAGTTTATATTTATTCAGCAAAGTTTTGTCGTATCTTTCAAGTCTGGGAACAATATCGCTTATTCTCTTAATAATGGTCTCGCTATCTATAACGTCTTGATTTAAACTACGCTGCTGTTAGTAGCTCAGTGGCGACTCACTCAATGACAGTCAAGCTCCTGCGTTCAGACCGGCATCAACTGCCACTATGACCAGATGCACATCATATGATCTAGAAGGTGGATGTCTAGCGAATTTGTGATCTCAGGAATCACGGGGTTAGCATCCCAGCATCTCGAATGTACGTAAACTTCCATAGTTGGAGAGCGGTCGATGCTACTCTTTAAAGTGGTAGAAAATGATATTCGCCACGCTAATGCTTTGCTGAAGCCAAGGCATCTGCCTAAACTCCAAAGCGATGAAGGGAAAGAGTAGTTGGCGGTGCAGTGACGGCTACGCCCTCGATCTTCGACTGTTAACTGGTCTGTGATGTGTAGATAATTGGTGCTACCTATTGATGAGTAATTGTTAGTCGCTACCTGGCGGTCCTTTTGGACTCTTTTCTCGAAATTCCGAAACAAAACGAAAAAGTTAGTTTCCGCCCGCCAATATAGCGAAATCGGCCAACGCCTCTCTTCTGTTATATTGTCTGTTCCCAATAATTGTCGGTAGATCCTGTGTCCAGTAGCTCAATTGTTAGGAACTTCCGATTTACAGACCTAAAATCTCTAGAAGACTTGGCTGCAAATGTTGCACGTGTCACTATCTGGTATATAAATCAGAAATAGCCACTGAACTATCCCTTATCTCTGTTGACAATATCCCTCAAAGCGGCGGATGTCGGCCGTCACAATAGAAGTATCGTCTGCGTTTGTGTATTCCTTAATTAGTTCCATATTGCCACCGCTTGCATTCCGCTTGCTTTGTCTCTCGCAGTCCCTTTGATTGCGACATACATGAAAGAGCTGCTAACCTGTAAGCTGAAGCATCAAGCGGTTGTTTGGAGCAACGCCTTTCATCCGTTTCGGGCGTTTCATCTACTATACGATCGCCACCTCTGCCTGAAATTTTGATGGGTTAGACCAAATTTTTCGAAAAGCTGCCTAATTCCCCGCCGCCAGCGACAACTACGGTACTCCGTACAGTGCGCCTGTATGTTCGCAATCACCTGCTGACGTTTTGCGCCAGAGGAAGGCCATCAAACCCGAGAGGCTTCGAGCAACGTTGACTCTGTAGGGTCTGTGGGCGATACCGGTACTTTAATCGCATCCTAGGACAGGCATGAGCGTTTCGGATACATCATCATGTTTGGTAGCCCTCACCAGGCTCTTAGCTGCTTCAATGTTAACATGCTGTTTTCAGCAACTCCGTCTCGCTGACCGTTAGTCCTAAAATAGGTGATTAATTAGGGAACGCTTATAGTAACCCTGTAGTGCCGTCCACCTCCAGCGCCACGCCACGCATGAGTTTACGTGGTTGCAGTCCTTGGTCCGCCTCTAGGACAGCCAATCACAGGTGTTGCAAACTGCGCCAGCGCTCAACTTCTCACGGTGGCTAGCAGGTGCGTACACACCAAGGCCTGCCTCCTCTAATGCGGTCTAGCCAATCACTTCGCTGAGACAGACTCACAGGGGACGTCACTGCGACGACTGCCACGCTCACACCCTTCGGACGCGCCCCCCCCCGCGGTTGGTTGTGCACTCGTCCGACTGTCAACCTCCTCCAGTCTATTCTCCGCTAGCTCTGTGCAGAATATACTATTCCTCCCATCTGGCGTCTCACTTCTCTTAACCTACGGAACCGCACCTGACGATCCCAATGACAAAGTTTTCGTCCATTAACTTAACCCAGTGCGATATTTTCTCCACTTTGTCACCACTTTCGCTATGTTGGGTTTACATTCTCTTGTGGAAAGTTAATTCAGCCCAGTTCAATATAGTACCGGTGATTATTGTAGAAAGTTTGCAGTAAGCCGTACTCAATCACATTGTCTCTGTGCTAGGAAGGAATGTCGAAAAATTTTTTTGTTAGTGGGGGTGGAAAAGCCCTGAGAATTCTGACAAGACCTGAGGGTGATGGAATTGGTGTCAATATACTGCGTCAGAAACAGACTACCTTAGAATTTTTTAACACCAGCGTCTTTAAGTTTCAAAGAATTGTCAAAGCATTGAAAGTGAAGAATTCCGATCCAAATAGGATGGGTTAACTTGGTCTTCAGGCATGTACCTTGAACAAATCTTTGATCCTCGTCTTCTATGCTCTTCATTTAGAACAACTCAGCCTAAGGTATGCAACCCTGTTAATTAATATAATGTCGACAGGAGTCGGACCCTTGATTTTTACCCAAGTTCTTATTCTTTACATCTTTTCCTTCTCTTGTAAGCCTCTCAATGGCCGAAGAGGCAAAGCGCCAAAATGCTCTAGAGGTCTCAAAGCATAGAGAAGAACGCGCTCAACAGGCGGCCGAGGAACGCGACCAAATGCTTCAAAAGGTAAGCCAGCAGGATGGTCTTTTCAAGAAATATTTAAGCAAAGACTTTACAAAGATGTACCATAGGTACCTTTATCGAGGGTGTCAAGGCTAAGAAGATTAACCCTAACGGCTGCGATCTTCCAGGCCCGGTTCCTTCGGAGAAGAGATAAGTCATAGGAAGGCCATAGTGGAAGGAAATGTTTATTCTGTACAGAAGGTTTGGAAGAATAGGTAGGAGGTAATTTTACTCGGACTGGCAGGCGTCCGACCGTGAGTGTGTGGGGTCGCCAACGGCGCTGATAATGCCGCCTGC